ACCTGGCATTCAGTGGTATTCATTTCGTTAACGGAATCAATGGTATTTAATGGAATTCATCACGAAACTTTCCAATCCCTAACCTGGCATTCAGTGGTATAATATTTTTGTGTCGGAATTAGATGAGATTCAAAAAAGACAAATTCTTTCCAAAATAAGGAATTCCATGATATTGAAACTATTTTAATCCCTTTTTTGGACAGAATGGAATTCGGAAAGTCCTTAATTGAATTCCTGGCAATCCCGTTTTAATTCTTTTCAATCTTTTTTCGTTTGCTGGGATACATAACCTCGCACACCCGAGTGGCAGAGCTACGAGGAAGACGATTGGACAGCGTTTCATATGGCCCAGCATGAACAGAGACATCGCCAAGTGGGCGAGAACCTGTCTGGCATGCCAGCGCGCAAAGATTCGGCATAACAGGAGAATTCCGGAACATATAGAGGTACCTGAAAAAAAGTTTTAACACATACATTTAGATATTTTAGGACTTCTACTCATATCAAATGGATATAGGTATTGCCTGACAATGATAAATAGATCTCGTTGGCCTGAAGCAGTGTATCAATAGTGGACACGTCAGCAAATACCGTAGCTACTACCTTCTTTTCAACATGAGTCGCCAGGTTCGGAACTCCAGTAATTATAACGACCGATCGCGGAGCCCAGTTCCGAATCCCTAATATTCGAAGCGCTAGTGAAGCTAATTGGGAGCAGGAGAATTCGTACTACCGCGTACCATCCATAGTCCAACGGGATTATAGAAAGATGGCACCGATCACTTAAAACCGCGATTAGGTATTATAAAACACAGAATTGGACTGAAATCCTTCCAGTGACATTACTCCGTCTCCGTTCGAATTACAAAGAGGACATATCAGCATCGACTGCAGAATTAGTATATGGAACGACGCTGCTAGGTGAATATTTCGCGACGGAACTAAGCAGCCGATACCCACAAATATTTATAGAACAATTTAGGGAGCATATGAAGAAAGTTCGCGCGCAGCCCACAACGCACCATGTAAAAAGAAGAGCGTTTATGCATAAAGACATGCAGACCTGCACACACGTCTTAATAATTCTTACGAGTGGACAAGGCGAGGAAACCGTTGAAGCAACCATACGAAAAACCATTTTTAATAATGAAAAGAGTCTCTAATTCTGTTTACAGGATCAATTACAAGGGACAGCCAACGGAGGTCAGTGTGGACCGTCTTAAACCCGCATTCATTGAGATAGCCAAGACAGGTGGCCCCAGCAAAAAACTCGGACGAGCCTCAACCAGGCCCGTCGGGAACCAGATGCTAGGAACTTGGACGTCGTACCGTCCGATTCGCGACTTGAAGCCAAGTCACTCGGGGGGGGGGGGGGCATCTATAAGTCCGTGGTCAATGGATGAACGCATGCCGATAGCGTGACCTTTCATTATGTTTGAGATTTTGAGATGACGAAGCAGTCTAGCTCTGACCGATAGATATTCAAGTAGCTGTGATATTAAGAATAAAGGCATACATATTTATTAACCGTAATTCATAGTTTTGTACTCATAACCCACCACAGGTCTAACCTAATCCAATTGTTGTTGTATGGGTGAAAAATTTTCCACGCGAACCAAGGTTCACCCCCACCCATCTCTGACTGCGAAGGAGGAGCGGTAGCTTATATGTGTACTGTCTATACACACATATCAGTAAATTACTTCCCTTAGCACTGACGTAAACTTGTAAAATTTTTCAACCTTTTTTTGTTCATAATTTTTAAATAAGCAGTGATCGCCGATTAAGTTACAAGGAAAAGTTACTCAGGATTACGTTCTTGACAACATATGTCAAGGTCATTGAAATCAGTGATGTTGTCCTCTTTCTGTATAATTACTATTTATAACACGTTTACACACACATCCATATCTCAAATATACGGTGGCCTGAATATACTTTCTCACCCCAGTTCAAACTCAAATTTAAATTTAATGAATCCATTGCAATCGCGACCCAAATTTGGATTTAATATTTTTATTATTCAGGTATCTTAGAAAATTTAAATTGAGTAATCTGAATTTATATAAAGTATCAAATTTACTCGTTATCCGAAAAATCGGATAGCCAGATCCAAACAAACTTCGAAGCTCTACTGGAAACGATTATGTGTCAGTGCTCATTATTATAGTATTATTTATAGGAACATTTCAATACAAAGTGCTAGTGTTTATTTAATATAAATAAATACGAACATTTAAAAGATTTGAAAATTAAAAGTACTCAAATTCAAATCTAGATTTATATATGTACTTACGCACACTTACACTTATATTTCTTCAAGCACTGAATATCCCTAAGATTGCATATTCTAGTACCTGAAATAATAACAATTTTATTATTTATTTGGATGCTCTATGTGTACAAAATAAGTTAAAAGCTTTTTTGTATACTTACAAGGGGAGGGTGCGAGGACGGGAAAATGGATTTTAATAAAACTAATTCCTATATCTTTCACTCGTAGTGAAACATAGTAAAGTGCCGTTTTCGAGAAAAACGTGTTTTATTATTTTAAAGTGCAGTAATTTAATCATTGTCTTCAAATTTATTTATAACATTTCAAGCAGCGAATAATAACTATTATTCCATATAACAGTAGTTATTATAATTAAAGTTAATTATGTGTATTAAAAACATTTTTTAAAAGTAGAGTAAGCATTTTTTTTTCTTTTATTTATTATTTTTTGTTAAAATTAGTAAATTTATTTAAATAAAGTAATTTTGCTTAACTACTTTATTATTACTTATGCTGAAAGAAAAAAAATATTTACAAAAAGTCGACAGGAATTGAACCCAGTCCAACAGCGTAGCAGTCAAGCATCTTAGATGCGTTGCTACGCCGCTTTGACGAAAATAAACTAGTATATTAAAAAAGTGTCGATTTTGGCCCCCGAGCGTAATGTGAATAGACCTTGAAAAATTATTGCTTAAATTGAGTCTTCAAATAACAGGAAATAACAATCATTTGTCCGACAAGTGGTGGAAACATTGCTAAAATGGCTATAATACAGTAAAAAAATGACATTGTTACGTATGCGAATAATGTCATTTTTTTACTGTAATTATAATTAAAACCATGATTCTAATCAGAATTGTGAGTACATTCTGCATGTAAAGATCGCGAACTACATTACGCACACGCACGACAGAGAGGGTCACAAAAATGACGAACTGTGGAGTCCTGATCTCTGTCAAGGGATGCTAAGCGGATCTATACTTCCACGTAGTGTATCTAGGTTAGTGCTAATGTAGTTCGCGATCTTTACATGCAGAATGTACTCACAATTCTGATTAGAATTATAATTTTAATTATTACTATTACGTATGCGGATAATGTGATTTTTTAACTGCATTTAAGTCATTTTAGCAATGTTTCCACCACTTGTCGGACAAATGATTGTTATTTCTTGTCATTTGAGGACACAAAACAGCACAAAATGTTTTCAAAAAATATTTTTAAATATTTCTATAAAAATATTGCGAGAAACATTTTAAAATGGTTTTAGGAATATTTCAAAATGGTTTAAAAACTTTTTGTGGTAACATTTTAAAGAATATTTTAAGAATCTTTTAAAAATATTTTAAAAAATGTTTTTTTTATCACCCAGGCAAAATTTTCTTGAATATTTGAAATATATTTTTTAAATATTAATTCAAAATTACATATTTATTGTATCATAATCTTGTTTCAAAATATTTAAAAAATATTTTTATTTCTTATTGGTTTTATAATCTTTTTTCAAATATTTTTAAAAATATTTTTGAAATATTATAAAATATTCTTAATTAAGAAAGATGCATGGTAGTACATCTTTCCGTGCTAGTTCGCAACGACGCCGCGACGCTGCTAGGCGGCGCATAATGGTAAGACTAAAGGCCGGTTTTCACACGCAATGATTGGTGGCGCCAGGCCGCGCCAGTCGACTAACGCCAGTAAAAATGCAAGTGTAAACACTTGACACAAACTGGCGCTAGTAGTGTGGCAGTTACTGGAGGTTACTGGTGCCACAAAATCTAAATTGAAGATATTTAGTAGTACTGGCGCCAGACGTTAGGTAAGTGACGTTTTCACATGCAATGATTATTGGCGCCAACTGACTGGCATTCATTGACGCCAGAAATCGTTACCATTAACCTAGCAAACTCATAAGTGTCAATATAAAATTTAAGGTTATATGCTTGCATAGGTTCCACCGACATTAACCGTTAGGTCAGTGCGAAAGAACTGCTCACCAAAGGCACCCGATAAAAAGGCACCTGCAAAAATTCCGGAGAAGGAACAAGGTCTACAGCTCGCCAGCACCAAAGCTCAGCCAACCTCGATTGGCAAGTCCCACCGACCCAGTTCCGGTGTACTACCTCAGGGTCACACCCCGGGACCTGGATCGGGCGGGCAGCAGAATAGCAGGAGCTTCGCCGCCGCTCTGAGGAACCTGGCTAAGCAGGCGGGCCCGGCACCTCAGGAAGAGGAACTCCGTGCCAGCTCGAAGAACCGGGCGCCACTGCCCTTGGTCAGAGGTCCTTCCCCTGCTAAGGAGAGATCAACGCACGAACGAAGACCTGAAGAAATTCCCTCCTTGTATAAAACTGCCAGACCCGTTGACGCAGGCGTCATTTATCCACTACGTGAAAGCATTCTGACACTGTTTTACAGGACGTTATTCATAATGCAGAATACAAAAGAAGTGGCACAGAAAGTAAAAGTGATAAAAAAGCGTCAAAACAAATGGAATTCGGACGAAATAAAAATGTTTTTAGAAGTGTACGAGCAGTTTCCTGCTCTGTGGGATGTTTCCAGTGAAATATATAAAGACCGTAATAAGAAAGACGAAAGCTATAACGCAATGGTTGAAGCGCTAAAAGAAAATTTTCCGGATATCAACGACACGCTTGTAAAGGCTAAAATTCGCAGTATAAGAAACGCTTATACATTGGAATTCCATAAAGTTGAAGCCTCAAAGAGAAGTGGAGCTTCAGCAGAAGACGTATATATACCTTCTGTTACCTGGTACCCTGTTGCTGACCGCTTTCTACGAAAGGTTCTCAAACCTCGGTCAACTAAGTCAAATTTGGTAAGAATTTTTAGTTTCTTAATTTTGTAGAATTATAATTCAGAGGTCAGTTTTAAAAGTTATATAGTATGTTTATTTTACTGTGTTTAATCATAAACATTTCTGTGTACACTAAACTTAACAATGTATTATACTGAAGTCTACGTAGGATGATTAGTCGATTGAATCATTGCCATCTGCCAAGGCACTGCTCCTTCTCCCATAAAGTAAGTAGCAAGTTGGTCTCTGAGCTCGCCAGCTGATTGTTGACCGTTGTTACTTTCTTGTCTTGATAGGCTGAATAATCCTTGACCATCCTGACGCCAATGTCCAGGAATAACTCTTCCATTTTCAATGTCATCAATATCAATAGATCCAGGTGGAATATAGTGTGATTGTGAGGTTATTTGTAACCAATTATGTAAAGCAACAGCTGCCAGAATAATTTTATCAGTTTTTTTTGGTTCATATGTAATTGGTTTTGCAAAAACCTGGAATTTATTTGCCAGGATTCCAAATGCATTCTCAACAATCCTTCGAGCTCTAGAAAGTCTGTAGTTAAAGATCAGTTTCTTAACATTTAATGAATCGCTTCTAGAATACGGTTTTAACAAATATAATTTTAAGGGGAAAGCATCATCGCCAACAAAGAAAAAGTTCTCTGGCAAATTGAGTAACTTCTCATCAATAGCTCTTTTTAAGCTGCTATTCTGAAATATTCCACCATCAGAATTTCTTCCTAAAGCTCCAACATCAATGTAACGGAAAATATATTCACTATCTACTACAGCCATTAAAACAATACTGTAGGATCCCTTATAGTTGTAATACAGTGATCCACTGTGTTTAGGTTTCTTAATAACAACATGTTTGCCGTCCAAACTGCCAACACAGCCAGGGAAATTCCATCTCTCAGCAAACCCTTTTTCTATTTTACACCACTCTTCTGTTGTATTTGGCATCTGAAAGGAAAACGACGAAAAATATAGACTCATGATTAAAATACAGATACTTTATGTTAATTTCTGTTTTTACAAATATCTTTATTCTATTGTTTTAGGAATTGACAACACAGAAAGATGAGACAGAGGAACTGGAAGATGATAATAATGATCTATTATTAGAAGAAGAGCAGATTAATAAAGAACAAGAAGTTACAAGTGCTCATCAGTCCCGGTCTTCCAAAAAGCTCAGAACGACAGTAAATGTACAACCAGATACATCTGCAATAAAGCATACAAAGCAACCACTACAGCCTCCCATGAAACAAAATCAAAAAATGCAATCTAGCATGTCTACAATTCAACAAGCAATAAATGCGCTTCAAAATGTTTCCGAACAGCATGCTGTGGCAACGCGAACACGTACTACTGACTTATACGAACAATTTGGCAGCACTGTTGCAGAATATCTTCGTCAAATGACCACGTCAAACGCGCTACAATGTCAGAAGCAAATACTAGATATTTTATTGAACACTTTGATGATGCAACAACTTTCATCTTCTGTACACACTGATCCATCTAAGCACAGTCAAAGTTCATTACTTTTTTCTTCACCACTTTCAAGTTCTACTACTATGCCATCTTTGATTAATGTACCTGTTAGCTCATCTACTATTGTACCCGTTGAGGTCGTAGAAATTAAGGACAGTGTAGAGAATACAGATTCATCAGATTTGAACATGTAATTTTAATGACTATAAAGTGACTGACTTTTAATTTTTACTTTATTTTGTAGGTATTGCAGGCCTTAGAGGTCTCTTTAAAGTAAACTTTTATTTCAATCTTAATATAAAAAAAATTTTTTTAGTGTATGCTATTGTAAGAAATCGAAAGAGGCCTACCCGATAGGTGGCCCCACATGGCGCACGCGAGCGGCGCGTTAACTTCGATGGCTAGAGGCACTGGCCATCGCCGCCAACGTGTGATTGGAGAGTGTGTGTGATTGGTCGATAGGCGACGACGCAAGTTGTTTACGCGAAATGTGTAACGGTCGTACAAGTCCGAACGTGTTCGAGTAAGTCGAGACGAGTCGAGCGTGCGAGAAGCTTCGACAGAGTTCTGAGGAGATCTCCGTGGAGATCGGACGTGCGTCGGAGGGCTCGTGCCTTTGTAACCGTATCCCGGCGTATCGATTCGTAATTCGTAAGTCCGTGCAATGGACTTCGCGGAGATGTATAAGTGAAATATATATTAAATAAGCGTTATCTATCCTTGTCTTCTTTTCCTCTCAACACCACCCTCGTTTTCCTTCGTAATAAGCGGTATCTAATACTCGCGCCACGTTGTCGAGGTCGTCCTGCAAATTCCCTCGTGAATACCGGTGAAACAATAATTATCAAAAGAAACGATAATTTCCAAGTCAAACATTTTACACTATATTATGTTTTCGGACTTTGTAAATCCTGTAGACCTACTAAAAGTAAACTTATTTCAGTTTTAGTTTTTACAGAGTCTTAATACCAAAACTATTTTTTTTTTTTGAAAGTTAATGTTTTGTTAGATTTTCAGACCTATTCTAAGAATTTTGTTGACTTATGTCATATATATATTTTAAATAAACTTTCTATTTAATCTTACAAGTACATGAGTTTTTATTCTCTTTAAAAATTTATCTTTGTAATTTTATATTTAAGTTTTGTCTCTTAAATAAATTTGAAATACGAAAAAGTACTAAAAGAATTATTTGTTCATCTATCTATGAAGGAAGCCAAAGAAATTTACAGTACGTAAAACAGAAAGTTTAAATCGGAAGGAAACCGGGCTAATAAAGAAAGTTTAAAGACTATTTTCAAGATAGAACATTGAAATTTGATATACCTACATATAGCACTCATTGTAGTAATATTAATAATAATGCTAGGAAAAAGCTTACCTTAATAAAATCTTTCAACGCTTCGTGAATGATATCCAAGACTTCAGGTAAAAAAGTACAGATTGTGCACTTGGGAACTCTGAACAGTAACTGTAATGATGCGAGGGAGTCACCAGTAGCCAAGTATCTAAGCACGATCTGAAGCTTCAGTTTTGGTGAAAGTGCTGGCCTCATATGCGTATCTTGCTTTTGAAGTTTAGCAGACACCATCCCTAACAAATCTTGAAAACGTTCTTGGGTCATTCGAAACATGTTCAGATACGTTTGGTTATCCTCTGCAACTAGTTCTTCTATAAATTGTAAAGCAACTTCTCGTCTAGCGATCCATTTTCGTACCCAATATCTACGTTTCTTTCTTTTCAGTTTAACCGCAAGAATGTTTTGTAGTTCGTTACTTATTACTAAAATTCCCAAACGAATAGTCGCATCCAACAACTCGGTTGACATCTTGACGATTACCTACATATTTTCCATATTATGCGCCAATAACATCACTATGCAAACACTTATGAGTTTGCCAGTTTAATGGAAACGGTTTCTGGCGCCAATGAATGCCAGTCAGTTGGCACCATTAATCATTGCGTGTATAAACACTTATGAGTTCGCCAGTTTAATGGAAACGGTTTCTGGCGCCAACGAATGCCAGTCAGTTGGCGCCACCAATCATTGCGTGTGAAAACCGGCCTTAACTCGCAAGTAAATTTCAGTTGGGTTCTAATATAAGCAGGCCTCCGGCAAAGCAAAATCATGACATTTGCGACACATATCTTCGCCTGGAATACAACGCAAGGCTTACCCAACACCACTGCGATGCTATAAATATACAAAATATTTGCCAAAGCAAGATATAAAGATGTATATTTTTCAAATATTAAAAAAATCTTTTAAACGTGAAACAATTATTGCTGATTGGGTTAAACATATTTTATTTTTCAAAGCAATATTTTTAAAAGATTTTACGAATATTGAATATATTTGTTTGCAATTTTTTTTAAATATTTTTGAAAAGATTTTTCTAACATAACCTGGCGGACATAGAAACATTAAAAAAAATATTTTTGTGAATTATTTTAATTTTTCTAAAAAATATTTAAAAAATATTTTTAAAAATATTTTGTGTTTTATGGGAAGCAATGATTTTTCAAGGTCTATTAACTTTACCCTTGGGGCCAAAATCGTCACTTTTTTAACATTCTCCTTTTCATTCGCGAACTGATATATCTGTGTATCTATTTTTTAAGAGCGTTTTTCTTGAAAACTGAGCGTTGCGCACTAGCGCTTGACTATGTTTTATTACTTATAGGAATACGTTTCGTTGAAAATCGTTTCCCGTTTCTCGCGCTCTCTTCTTGTTAAAGGTTAATATACCTTTCTTGGTTTGAAAAAATCGATTTTTTTTCCTTGCATATTTTGAACGTTTAATGTCTTAAGAGGATCCTATAGCAAAAGCCGAACTTCCTTGATGTAGATAATGTCAACATTTCTAATCCTGTTTTCTATGTTATATATATATCTATATCTGTCCTTGTCTAACGAAAGGCATCTGTCCTTGTTCGATTGCTGCGCCATCTCTCACTACACGCAATACTGCTTATCTTATCAACCTGCATGTGCTTTTGCATACATAAAAGTTAAAAACATGACACTTTTTTTCTAGATTTCTATCGTAATTGTAATTGCACGATATTGTTCTTCAATGTTTTTCCTAGAGGGCTAGATTCTCATTTTGTATATATAAACTGCAGTATTTTTGTATAACAAAATATTGTCGTCAGTGACAGCTCTATGTGCCCAAATTTTCAATTCTTTTTTGTTTTGGATATAAAACCGACCCTAGCCCTCTACATTTTTGTGCGTACTTTAATTCTGTAAAAGAATTTTGCAATTCAGTAGAGTCAATTAAAATGGTTTGCTTTTAACTAAATGTCGATAATTACTGCCACTATAGGATCCCCTTAAAAATGAAATCCTAACGCCGTTTTTTGAAATTTGAACAAGTATATAGAGGATACAGCGCTTTGTACTGCGCGCTGCACATGCAGACATGCGATAGCTTTTTGTGGAGCGGCGCTCAGGTAGAAAGGCGGCTCACCCGAGAATGCGATTCACTCTATCTAAAGATCTGTCTAATGAAACATTGCTAAAATGTTGTCTCGGCGGGTTTACCCAAAATAATAACAAAAGTTATAATAACTTAATTTGGAAAATGGCACCAAAAATTTCGAACAGCAGTGCATCGTTGAAATAGCAACTTACATAGCAGTTTGTCTAGTTAACGAGGAAGCCACGTCTTTATTAAAAATAATGAGCACAATGGGAATAAAAACTGGGCGAAATGAACCGCAATTCACAGCTTCAAGTGACACTCGCCGATTCGGCTAAGCAGACATTTGCGCGCAACACGCGACTTGGGAGGTCAGAATTCATCGCCGACTTGCCAAAAATCAATTGGAGGACGAAAATTTGGCTAAGAAGGATTCACTTTTAGGCCTAGAATAGATGATTTGTAAGTTGAAAAAAATCAGTTTTATTGTAGTGTAAACCTGTTGTAAAACTTTAAAAGCTTTTTCCTCGGAACCATGTTTTCAAAATTGGTACTGGTCGAAACTCGAAAACGACTCAACGATTTAATAGCCGTTTAGACCTACCACAAGTATATAAAATTTTGTAGTTTCTATTGGATACTTTTTGCAATTTTTTAATTATTCCTATTTTTTAGGAAACAAAATTAAAATTTTAGCAAAAAATCGATGTCTTAAGTTTGAAAGTCATTTGGTTAAAAATCAAAATTCTAGAAATCCCATCCGACAGGGATTACAAAAATTATGTCATAAATGTAGGAATATGGTTAAATGAAAGAGTAATATATTTTAAGTGAAATGGTATACAGTATATAAGTAACGGATATCTTAATTCTTCGGCACGAGTCTCTCGTCTCTGGATCACACGCTTGCCAGCGCTTGCTCGCTGCTGCTTCCATCTAGCGGGGTCCCACAGATTGGCCGTCCTGAAGCGTCATCCGCCTCGGATGACATCTGCTCGTCCTGCTCCGGTCTAGCCCATCGCTTCAAGTATTCGGCACAAGTTGTAGTCTTCGCTGGCCCTTCACCGTCTCCTACTCTTTCCACTTCGTACGTATCACCGGATTTTATTTTGGTGACACGATACGGCCCTAGGTACTTGGGTTTCAGCTTCAATCCTGGCCCTGCTGGATGCGTTTTATGGCCACCAGATCATTGAGATGGTATTTATTAAGATTCCTGCGTCTCAAGTTGTAGTGTCTCCAATTTTCTAACTGGACTGCTTTGATTTGTTGCCTGGCATCATCTCTAGACTGCTTGCGTGTGGCGTCATAATGGTGAACCATCTCCTGCTCAACTGCTTCCTTCATCCTGAGATCCTCATTAGTTCTCATCCTGGTACCTATTAGCAGCTCGAATGGCGTTGTATCAATACTGCGTTGGTAGGTAGAATTCAAAACTTGTTGTAGTTTGGCAACGTGCTTATACCACTTCGTGGGTTCATTGATTGACATCTTGGCAAGTTCTGGAATGATTGTCCTGTTGATACGCTCCACCTGCCCGTTCGCCCTGGGCAAACCCGCTGTAACTTTGAAGTGTTCGATGTTCTCTTTCTGGCAATAGTCTTCAAATTCAGCCGATGTGAACGCGATGCCCCTGTCCGAGATGATCCTACTGGGATTACCAAAAATACTTTTCTGTACTTCCAGCTTGTCGATAACTTCCTTGAAAGTGACTGTCCTGTGGGGTACAGCCACGGTCGTGAATACAGGTCCGGAAACTCTAGTAGTGGGGGGTGACTTGCTTAGTGAAGTCATTTTATGTAGTTGACACTATCACCACCTGGAGCACTGGAGGTTAGAGATTTTTTAAATAACGCAAATACATATTGAATATATTGACATATAACATAT